GGATGCATTAGAACACATTAGAGCATGTTAAAACACACTACAGTGCATTACGTATAACGCAACAGAAACCATGAGAATGCATTAGGACACAATAAAAACTATTAGAATGCATTATAACACATTATAACGCACTAGATCGCTTTAGAAGGCATTAGATAGCATTAGAAGGCACTAGATCGCATTAGAAGGCACTAGATTGCAATAGAAGGCACTAGATCGCATTAGAAGGCACTAGATCGCATTAGAAGGCACTAGATTGCATTAGAAGGCACTAGATTGCATTAGAAGGCACTAGATTGCATTAGAAGGCACTAGATTGCATTAGAAGGCACTAGATTGCATTAGAAGGCACTAGATTGCATTAGAAGGCACTAGTTCGCATTAGGAGGCACTAGATCGCTTTAGAAGGCACTAGATTGCATTAGAAGGCACATGATCGTAATAGAACGCACTTGATTGCATTAGAAGGCACTAGATCGCATTAGAAGGCACTAGATCATAATAGAACGCACTAGATCATAATAGAACGCACTAGATCGTAATACAACGCACTAGATCGCATTAGAAGGCACTAGATCATAATAGAATGCACTAGATCGTAATAGAACGCACTAGATCGCATTAGAAGGCACTAGATCATAATAGAATGCACTAGATCGTAATAGAACGCACTAGATCGCATTAGAAGGCACTAAATCATAATAGAATGCACTAGATTGTAATAGATTGCACTAGATCACATAAGAAGGCCCTAAATTGCCTTAAAACGCATTAGTATGCACCAAAATGCTCAAAACCAGACGAGGGCGTACGTCGGGAGTCGGGACAAGCCAGATCACCCAGATGCGGACGTACGCCAAGACAAGCCAGATGCGGATCGTATGCGGATGCTAGCCAGATCACCCAGATGCAGACGTACATTGAGACAAGCCAGATGCGGACATACGCCAGGCGTGTGCGCCAATAACGTTATTTTAGCTCTTAGTACGCCACGTTGTATGCCAGTAAAAGGGCTTGGAGCCTTGTTTACGCCGGATTAATCCATGGAAAACGGCACCATCCTGAGTATGGCACTGGTGTACCTCCTGTTTTAATATTTCAAATTACCAAAGATTTTCAAATATCTAAAATGCAATTATTTCAATCTCAATAACTATATCATATGTGTTGGCAATGGCAAGATCTCCAGTCCTGACTTCTGAAGGCATTAATTTTGCTGTTGATGTGTCACCAAAAATCTTCTGTACTCTGATAAGTGAATAGGCTAAGTGATAACCATGATGGTGATGCTTTGCTGATCTACTCATACTACCGTAGTCAAAGCCTTCAAAATTAAAGGACTCAAAAATAAACTTGAAGACGAGTCTAAAAAACTCTCTGCTTTGTAGTTTGCACTTTGCACTATCATCACTATGGTCACTACTCACTTCTGACTTCCATTTAGTCATTTACTATTTAGTTGAAAACTTAAACATAACAGGCAGGCCAGTATGGCAGATTCGCAATATTGAAAGAAAAACATTTAGGTAGAATAGAAGTGTCGGCACTGAAGAAATAGGCCCATGGAACGTTGCCGATTCTTGAATTTTTCGTGACTTGATTCACATTCACAAGGACAAGGGATCCGACCTTTGCCCTTTGGAACCCGATCTTTCCATTTAAATCAAAATTGTTAAAAGAATTATAATATAGAGGATAAGGCTCAACCAACGATTTGCCATTGCCTGCTACGGTTAAAATATTCACAACACTGTAATTAAAAACCGATTTGCAGTTCATCCATAGTCGGTAGTTCGTTGACTAGCCTGTGAGGTCATCTTTAAGGTCTTGCTCGTTTAAAGCGCGCTATTTAAATGCACGTCTCAATGTTGTGCCAACAGTTGTTTACAATTTCCCTGCAAAAGTTTTACCCTAAATAAACCTGATTTAATCAATGGATTGCTATTAGGGAAATTAGGAGTCGAGTTCATAATGTTTTTGGTGCTTGAAGATCTCATGCTTAAATTAGATATCATATGAGATCTATCCTCAGATTCCATTCTCAAATTTTCATCAATATGACAATCGTGTTCTATGCATAAGATCATACATGACAGCTTCTCTGGATATGATTCGCTATACTGAGAATTTTTTCCTAATATAAATGATATTGATAAATGAAATTTTGTTTATAAGGAAAAAAGGATCGACTACGTGCATCTTGTCTTCCGAAAATCTTGGGGTAATTTATGTCAATCAGTTGGTTTTGACTCGCTAGAGCCAGCGTTGCCAGATGGTATATTTCTATACCAGATTTCACAAATCTGGTATTTTCAGACGGTGTCTGGTATGAACATTTTAGATCTGGTATATTTGCCCTAATCTGGTATTTTTCTGGTATTTTCCGACTTACTGCAAATTTACTGCATTAAGTTCCCCTCTAAAGTTTGAATTTCCTCCAACGTAGGCGTGAATTATATAGATTACCTTCAGAGTGGCGCGACTAGTGGTTTCCCGCCATTTTTGGAACCGCAAGTTTACCGCTTGATAAAATAACCCCAATTTAATTGTTAGCATTTAACAGAAGTGCTTAGTGCAATATGAGCATGAGAGTGATGATCTTCGATTGATTACTGATCAATGATGAACTGATGATATGGCCTAGGACGAGTGAGGATGTCGAATCGATCTCTGCGACGCAAGCTCCACCATTTTTGTTTGGTGGTTTTGAATTCTAGAGTGCCACTTATTGGAGTGCCACTTGAATTCTGGGGTGCCATTCAACATTTCACTGATCTTGACAATTATCATCCATTCAGGAACTGGCTGCCTACTGCATCACTTGTCTACTTTGACCTGTCTCCAAAGCATTCGTGGTGCAAGTGTTTTTACAAGTCACCTATTTGAAAAACAAGCAACGGAATAAAATTTCAACTACGGTACTGGAGTCCCTTATTCGGACCAAAAGCTATCTGCCCAACCGCAACAAGTGATCACACCCGAAATGTTAGATTAATGCATTATGCAAGCATGTACGTAAATAAGCAAAATGAAGATGACCTGTTTCCGTGGCTTGCTCATGTTGAGCGAAGAAGAAAAAGTGCCACAATGACACTGATAAAAAAGGAAAAAGTGTCAATGTAATCAAACACAGGAAAAGAAAAGTGTCAAAATGTTCCAAACAGAGGGGGAAAAAATATAGCTTGTTCAATTTGGCTAATTATCGTCAAGCCAGATAACTGCACAGTACATAAGGTAATTTTTTTCTAACCAACGTTTCTGACGAATAGTTTTATAAAATTTTGAGGTATTAGTCTTTTTTTGAACGATAGAATTTCTGGTATATTTCTGGTATTTTGAGCTAGGCAATCTGGTATTCTCGCCAAGAGAAAACCTGGCAACACTGGCTAGAGCGACATTCAATGCAGTCAACGATGAAGTGTCACGTTGTAAGTGTGTAGTTGTAGCTGGAGTCATTTGGCTCCTATGCCGGCACTCACCCGCATAGTGACAAACCACAGAATTTTTAGAATCCGTTCATTTTTATCTTCCTCTTCTACTCAAGATTAAACCAATTTCTTATGTATGATAATGCTAGCAGCCTAGCATCTATTATACTTTACTGCTCTTAGTGCTCTACTTATAGTTATAGTATTATAAGTATAGGACTTGAAAAAAATGAACTTGAGGAAGAGACAGTAAAATAGTCTCTGCTATGACTACTGTCTACTGTCACTAATCACACTATGACTACTATTGCGTGGTAACTCTGTTTTTTTAGCCTGTTCCTGCATTAGAATAGAAGTGTCGGCGCTGAAGAAATAGGCCCATGGCCTGTTGCCGATTCTTGAACTTTTCGTGACTTGATTCACAAGGGATCCGGCCTTTGGAATCCGATCTTTCCATAGCTGACGATTGATTGAGATAGCTGCTGGACTTATTGCCTGGTCCGTAATTTGCTAGGCATTTTAAGACTGAACATATGCTCCTTCACATTGATAACATCATAACAAGTAGCCTTCACATTGATAACATCATAACAAGTAGCACTCACATTGATAACATCATATAATGGTAGCCCTCACATTGATAAAAAAAGACACACACAAAGAAACAAAGAGATTTTATAACTGTAAATATATTGAATTCTGTTTTATAATAGTTTATTTATGATATGTTTTGACTTTAGCTAATCAAGAAGTAAAGTAAATATTTAATGATAAGATGAATGGTTTTATATGGTGAGGACACTAAATCCTCAACATTTCTTGAGGCACTTGACTGAAAAATGGTGCCATTAGGGCACAATTGATATTCTCCATAGTGATTTATGCTATAATGTTCTCCTTAGTCAGTTCTGCTGTACTGTTGTCCTTAGTCAGTTCTGCTGAAATGTTCTCCTTAGTCAGTTCTGCTGAAATGTTCTCTAAAGTGAGTTCTGCTGTAATGTTCTCCTTAGTCAGTTCTGCTGTAATGTTCTCCTTAGTCAGTTCTGCTGTAATGTTCTCCTTAGTCAGTTCTGCTGTAATGTTCTCTTTAGTCAGTTCTGCTGTAATGTTCTCCTTAGTCAGTTCTAATGTAATTTTCTCCTTAGTCAGTTCTGCTGTAATGTTCTCCTTAGTCAGTTCTAATGTAATTTTCTCCTTAGTCAGTTCTAATGTAATATTCTTCACAGATCTTCAACTTCTGGTGCATTAGTAAGTATCACAGAGTTCAATCCGCAAATTCCCTTACTGCCAGAAATTTAATATACCTAGTTTTTGACCTCAAGATAGAGACCTCAATATATAGTATTTTTATATCTTTCATGTTAATATTATGCAAATAGTTATCTTATAATTTGTTGATTTCTTTAATTTTTGAAGAGAGCCCTGTAAGTATTTGAATATTTGCATGTTCTATGTCAAAGCAAATAGTAAACTCACAATTTGTGTCATCGTTGTGGAGGCTTTACTTCCTCAATTAATCTAATCATGACATCTCAGTACATTAAATATTTAAATTATTTGCCCGCAGATATTTTTTCCATTATTAGAGATTTTTGCATTAAATTCAGATGAAAGTGAAGTGAAAGCAGCCTAATGTGTAGTTATTTGCCTAAGATCTTCCTAATGTACTGTTGATAAAAGAGATCATAGATGTGAAGTTGTCCAAGGATGGGAGTGATAGTTTTTCTTCACAGACGCCGTAGAGCGTTTCTTCTGCGCGTGTTTGCCGTTCTGATGGTCGTTGGCATCATGTGCCTCTGGTTGAGATCTGATACAAAACTTGATGAAAGTGATGATAAAATTCTGCTTCCCGCCCGTGCGGTTCCAGCTGGCACAAATGACGGTCCCGCTAGGTTAGTTCCCGACAATGTCAACAATAAGGGCTTCGGTAATCCTGAAGAGGTTGTGCTTAAAGTACCGGACAATAATTTGGATTTCAGAGATGATAAACTCCACAAGTCGGATGCTGCCCTTGGTATGGGCGTTGTGCCAGGAGACGACGCAGAAGCTGAACAGCGAGCAAGAGCTCTGGCGATGTTCGCTGCTGATGACGCAAAAATTGTGCCTGGTCTGGGCGAGCGAGGCAAAGCTGTTCACATGAAAGGAGAAGAAGGAATACTTGCTGATGAAAGCGTCAAAGTGGACGCCTTCAACCGCATTCTCAGTGACAAAATCGCATACAACAGAAGCGTGCCCGACTCCAGAGACCCCTTGTAAGTGATGAATTAATTGCAGTACAACAACACATAAACTTATCACCTTAATTTGTATTTTATTATTCGTTAATAACCCAGGAAATGGATGCAAACTTCTTTATTTTATATATCTGTATGAATGTTTCTGTGGCAGTATCTAAATTTTATCGAAAAATCACAAAATCTAACTTCTGTTCAGAAGTGTGTATGCTATTTCCAAATTATTATTATTTAATTAGTTGATTAGGCAAATACTTCCAGGTGTGTAATATTAGCGGAACATCTCACTGTCAAGTGTAGTTGCATTATTTGAGTTAGTTTCGTCGCATACGATGTAAAATAATTTGCGTGGTTATCTTTTGGGTGCATCCGTGCGCCTTCATGCATTGCTGCTGTGGCTGTGAGCTAACAGAGATGCATCTCTTGGCACGTTATCAGAATTGCTTAGGTCCCCGGTACACGGGGTCCCCTAGGTACACGAGGCGGCCTAGGTACATGGGGCGGCCTAGGTACACGGGGTCTGGGGCGGCCTAGGTACACGGGGCAGCCTAGGTACACGGGGCGGCCTAGGTACACGGGGCGACCTAGGTACACGGGGCGGCCTAGGTACACGGGGCGACCTAGGTACACGGGGCGACCTAGGTAGTAGGTACACTGGGCGACCTAGGTACACGGGGCGACCTACGTAGACGTGATTAGCTTGAGAAGCCACCAGTGATTGACTGACGATATTTTTTATCGTATGGCTTCAGATTCTTAATTTCATTGTATATTTGAAAATAATCAGGTGCCTATTGGTTTTAATCGACTGCGCATTTCACAATATTTGATGACTATTTCCTACTCAAATTCCGTGTACCAAAAACTTTAATATTATGTTTATATTCGTAATTTCTCTATTTTCCCTTAACAAACCTTAAAAAATATATATATATATTGCCTTCTTCGGTGGATCGATAAGAATAAACGGGCAGATGTGAACTCTTGTACATTAGATTTGACTCGCCTGTGTAAAGGATGCATATCAGTACAAGGTTCTCATCTGCTCGGTTACACCGTAGTTGTGAAGATGAAGACATGGACTTGTCGCTCGGTGTGTCGCACAGGTGTTGCGGTCATCAATAGGCATAGTTATTTTTTATCATTTTTTAGTGGCGCCTTTGAAGTGTAAATGCCAGTTCGCCGCACACCTGCACCTGTGATGTGCAGGTGTGCGTTTTTTATGGTCCAGTGTATCGTTATCTCTGCTTCTAGCATCCACGTTATGCACGACAATATTCGCTGGTGTAGGAAGTTCAAACCGACCATGTCGCTGTGTTCTATAGACTGATAATGGCTAAGCTTCAATGAGGGAATTTGCAACTGAGGCTGAGGTTGAAAAGGCTGGAGCTTCGTGGTGCAAGGTTGAGGAGGCTGGAGCTTCGTGGTGCAAGGTTGAGGAGGCTGGAGCTTCGTGGTGCAAGGTTGAGGAGGCTGGAGCTTCGTGGTGCAAGGTTGAGGAGGCTGGAGCTTCGTTGTGCAAGGTGGAGGAGGCTGGAGCTCCATGGTGTAAGATGCGGGAAACTGGAGTTCCCGCATTGCATAAGCTCTCCATAGGCTCATCGCACCGTAGCGCGAACGTCATGCACGCGGTGGCAGATTGCGTAACTGCGTGCATTTCCTACCTCTTCTTCTCCCTTGTTCTTCGTCAGGCTACAGAGACTGCATGGGTACCCTCATGTTATGTTGGTGCGGCTGTTGTTTTCATGTTGGCTGCATGTTGACTCTGGTGCTCTATGTTGTTGCGACTGTTGTTATCATGTTTACTCAGACTTACTATGTTACTGCGACTGTACATTTCGTGTTTACGGCATTAGCGATGATACCATTTTGACCTGACAGCATAGATAATTTTTTGCTATGGTGCTAGTGTGGCTTTTTGCGTTGCCCTGTTCGAAATAACTTTTGTTCAAATTCTCCACCGCCTCGGTACACGTACAAGTGTATCGATGAGGCTTATCGAAGATTGATCAGTCACACTGCAGTCCAAATTGGAGATTATCTTTGAAAGTGTTTTGCGAATGGACGTTTTTTGCTAGTACTGCGAAATGTCGGTATATAAATACAGTCTATTTATAGATTTTAGCAATGACTCGTCTGACACTAAGTGTGTATCGAAACCCATAGCTCAAGAATAAATTTCAACGGACTCAAGTACGTATTTAATAGATTTAGTTCCGCTGCCTACACTAATTTTGAATATTTACTGCCTTTCGCTGCTTCTTGATTTTTTCCCTTACTTCAGTGGTCGCACTCGATCGATCGCGCGTTAGTGTTTTGTTTCTGCTCCGTGACCGGAGCAGAAATAAAGAGCGACCATACCAGTTCCTAGCAGGCAAGACTTGCGGCATCGTATATGTAATATACCTATGTGGTATATCTATGTAGTATATATATCTTGGTGTCAGCCTCGTTATGCTATGTTGGCCTGTTGCCGATTCTTGACCGTCCTGCCACATTGCCGAATTTAAACTGAAAGTTCACAATTAGTATCGGTTTTCGAACCACCAACTCGCTGCTGCAATCTGATTGATCTTATCTACTCGGCCATCCGAGCTTAAAGTAATTCCTATTTAATAGTGTAAAGCTATTATCACAATAATAAATCTCATATTGAAGAATGAAATTTATCGTATAATTATCATTATTTTCCAGATTATTTGCTTATCGTGAAGATGAATTATTATTTAATATTTATCACGTAGAACGCGTTACCTCTAACGTTAACCTCTATGTGTCTGGAAATGTTTTGAAAGCCAAGTTTCCAATATCGCTGCTCATGAGATGAGGGTCAGTAGTAAAAGTAGCCCCCGCTGGAGGAAGCCTCTAGCATCGTTCGTGCGATTAAACACGCATCAATATTTTTTCTTCTGATAATTTATTAACGTCTTGGGCGTAATTCGTGTTAACGCAGGAGACAAGTCAGTGCAAATACTGAGCACTAGCTGTCTTCCAAACGAGGTATTCGGATCTGAAACTATGCATCTACGTCGTTTCGTAGAAACAAAATTCTACCTGTCATACATCTATATACTCTATGAGTAATTAGGCGTATCTGGTATTGAAATCGTTAACACCAAAATTCTGAGCTTTAATAGAGTTTATGAGATAGCTGTAGGGCTTGCCTTATAATGCAGATATCGCTACCTCTCGACCAGGAGTACGACGTGACCGCTTCATCATGCGGGAGGCGATGTTATGTTAAAGCATTAATGTACGTGGCTGGTAATAATCATTAGCGAGGTAACTGAAAACATTAACAGAACTGTGTCATGAGTGAGTTGTTGTCTGGGCATATATTACACGCGTCTGGTAATCTTTATCGTGGTAAATGAAATGAAAGCAGTACTGTAGAGTATTTTGTTGAGCGAGTAGGTGATGAAGTCTATCGCTACGCGTGCCGCCAGAGCAGCCGTTGACCTCGCTATATGACAGCGCCTCGGCGCGCGTGACATCTCAGCGTACGGCGCACGCTGCAGCTAAGATGCTGGCCTCTGTGTTCTCTACTTGCTTACGTCTTGCAGGGCATGTATGTCATCATTAGATGTAGTTGATAGAAAATTAATTTACTGGATGTTTTAATGAGGAGAAGAAGCATTTCACTGTAAGCACTTTGACTACCATACATTCGAATTTGACGAAACAATCCGATGCATTGAATTCTAAATGTTGTATTGTTGGGCTTTAGGCTGCGCAGGAAAAATTTGTGTGGAGTACTTTCTCATTGACGTAGATAATTTTTGTTTCTTTTGTTTGGCCGAATACTCAAGTTACTGTTTTTTTTTCAGCGGGTGGAATTTTGATGGAAATCTGGCAACCAGATTGTATTATACTTTATAATAATGCCATGTTTTTCTTATCATGAACACGACAATTTTCATCAACGCCTCATGAGTCTAGCGCTGATGTTGAAAACAACTTCCGCTCTTGGTGGTAGTACGAAAAACAAACTCCGGAAGAAATAATGCCTATAGGTTATCGATTTTGCTCCAACATTTGTGCTCTATATCGCAGTTTCCACCTTTGTGTATACTCATCCGACGCGGGTGTAACAACAGAAATATCAGAAATCTACTGTAATATGTATTTGAGTTCAGTCCAATTATCATTTGTTGGCACAAATTTGTTGGTTATTTAACTATACAGATGTTCGCTCTTAGAAAAAATGGTTCAGTTCAACGGCTGATCGCATCCAACCCGATGCGACGAGTTACGCTGTCCGTATGCTCTTATTTTTTAGCGACCAAGATTCGTTTTTCTCGGCAATTACACGTTCACATACGAGGCGACTTCTGTACATCGTGCCATAAGATCTCATGTTGACCTAAACCATATGTTTTGTCAAAATTTTCGTTCTTGATAACATTGTCCGTATATACTAATGTCGAGGTAGCATATTTTCCTCATCTGCTCACTCTCGAAAGTAGCGAAAATTTTCACGTTTTTTCCAAAGTAATTAAAGATTGTCCTTTTTACCAGCAAAGCTGCCCTATTTATGAGAGACCTGGATAGAAGATGGGCGCCATATGCGACGTGTGCATGAGCATAACCTCCTTTCCCGCTGTCTCCAGCAGCGCTTTAGCGCATGACACTCGTTAACGGCTGCGTGCATGCACGCCGCGTTCGTGCTCACGGGTCTCCACGCTGCTGGTGTCGCTGAATTACCAGCCTTAGCTCTTATAGTCATGCTACCACGGCAAATTATTCCCTTCTGACACCTCGATCTAATTCCGCTAGTTGAAGCGCTTGAGCTCAGTCTCGTTTTCATCAAGGTCTTCCAGTTTGATGAGAAATGGGTCACTGGAAGACGGAGTTTTGATGGTAGCAATATCAAGCACGATACCTGCAGGGAGTTTGAAGTCTTCTCCGGGCTAAGGATTATAATTTAATGGCATTGTGGTAGCGTCACAGTTACATTTATAGTTCTACCCACATGTTTTATGGCTGGCGTCTTAGAACTGCGCAGGTATCATCACATGTTTGGAGGAATTCTTGTCAAATCGTGTTCATTTATTTCATTATTTCTAATTTGTGATATGGTAACCTCGATGGCTTGATGAAGTGCTCTACAAGCTTGATAGAGTGCTATAGGTTCCTCATTAGCGAAAATATGGCAAGTACCATATATTCGCCGTGCTCTGAGCATATATGGTGTCTGTGTTCACACTCAACCCGTTTGTTGTAAATTTAAAGAGCATTTCCATTGAAAAACAAGGTCAGTTCTCGAATGCAATATCAAATTCTTGGTTGTTTTTAGAATCAATAATGAAGAAGTTCTGCATTGCTATGTAAATTTTGGAAATCATGTCAGAAAAGTTGAAAATAATTTTGATAAGTATCGGCCTTTGTTACTAGCACTATACAGCTACAGAGAGAGAGACGTATATATGGCATATGCTTAGCTTGTGTGTGTTTCTCTCTCAGAAACATCGTGGCGGTCAGAAACAACACAGTGACCGGGCGGTCGTGCGACGGTGCAAAACAAATGGCCAACTCTTGTAGGCCCAGTTCGCGGGTCTTAATATTTTCTTCTGCTGCTGTGAATCCATTTTTCAATTAGCGGTATCTGTTATTTGTCCTTCCTTTCACAGTTTTTTTTGCTATTATCCACAATTGGATAATGCCGTGTCTCCTACCGTATCTTGCATCATGTATCAAGTACCACTCTCGATGTTGTATGGTCATGGAGTCTGTCAAAACCGCTCTTATCGCCGTCCAGATTCACCAATAAATATTTTTTCGTTTAAGCATTTCCTAAGTCGTTTAGCAAATAAATATTGATTTAACTGCATAATTGCATCTAAGAGACATTGTCGCTGGCAGCAGTTGGTGCGGGAACGAGCCACGCAGGCAAAGGAGTCGAGAGAAACCGTAGGGAAAGTCTTCGATGATATGGGACAGCGGTGACCGCGTGCCGTGAAGTGACGCTGCCGCGGCTCGTGGCAATATCGCTGCTACAGTCGTGTTTTTATTAATTCTCTAGATATCCACTCAAATGCGCGGCAAATATTTTGAAAATGCTACACATATTGTGATGAATTCTGAATAATACTTAACTCTTTGCAATAGCATTTTTGTGAATGGTTATTTGGGTGCAGAAATTCTGTGGATCGCACTGCATGCTGCAGCTGTGAGTGGGAACTTGAGATCGGAGGTGCGGCCTGTAAGGCGGTCGATCATACGTGCGTGAGGAGGTTGTGATTAGCTCGCTGTTGCTGTGGCCATTACTGTAACTTGTGTGAAGAACACGCTGCACTTCCGGCGGCTTCGTGGGTTCACTCTTGTGTAGGCTACATGAATTGAATAGTGCCTAGTTTAATTTATGTGGTCAAGACAAAAATTGGCCGTCCATAAATTTGCGGATTTTGTCTAACCTGAAGGTATTTGACTCGTAAAATTGGCTAAAATTATCTGTAAATTACTTATCATGAGAACTTCAGTTTAATCAAGCCGCCTAATCCAGCTAGGTTTTTCAAGATCCGTTTTTGATTTGACAATTTTCTCGATTGCCGCTGCGTAGTGCTAACATTCAAAGTTATATAAATTAATTAATACTATTCCTATTGTAGCGATAATTAATATTTATTATTTATCTTCAGTTGAGTTGGGCATTGCGGATACGAATCTTCAAGTTTATGTTCAACGTTCATACATTCAAGTTCAAATCCTGATGCGTATTACGGTACATATTAAATTAACGAATCTATAACACTCTCTATCCAGAATCTGAATTTTACTTAAATTTTTATTACTCCCGAGAGAACTATAAATGTTTGGATTATTTTCTGATAAAAAAGATTTTACAATCGTCTTCATGAAGTTTTCGTCGAATCGTTCAACAGTAAGCGACCTGTCGCTAAAACACGGGAAAGACTTTCTTACGGTGATTCTTTCGAAGATTAGTATGGGAAACTTTCAACAAAACTATTCTCTGTGTTACAGATGTGCCCGAGTGACGTACAGTTCACAGCTTCCCAGCGCCTCGGTGATAATTATTTTCAACAACGAGGCTTGGTCGCCGCTCATCAGGACGATACACTCGGTCATCAACAGGTCGCCTAAGCAGCATCTGCACGAGATACTCCTAGTCGACGACTTCTCCGACCGAGGTGAGGCTACTGGCGTTGGTTGGATTATTGTCCTTATAGCAGCCATGATCATTTTGAGACCTGCCGTTCCATTCTGTGATCTGGAAAGTGTGAAATATTATGTATGATCCGACTAATAGAAAGTAAATTGAAATTTGGCCATTGTATTTTAGGTACGAAAGCTTCCGGAGTAAGGAAAATCGACCATATTATCACTTAAATTATGCGAGCCCCAAAATACGTAGTTTCTTGGTCGTTTTGGAGGTACTAATTATATAGTGTCCGGACCAGTGTGCCAGTGAGATCTCCCCATCACTTCCGTCCGAGTTTCAGGTTAATGTAAACTGCATGACTGTTAACAAGTAAAGGTCAACTTACATTATGACAAGCCTAGTACTATGTATCTTCAAATGAACACTTGTGTTCCTAGGGAAATTTTGGTGTGTCTGTTTCTCCTTCATACGTTGTGTTAAATTTGCTTACGACTGATCGCAAGCTCTTTTTTTTTGTGCATCATTTTTAAAACGATAGGCCAAGTGAATAATGATGTACCTTCTAATTTGCTTTTTGTTGATGAGGTTCCCAGTTTCTGAGAAGGATTTGTCCAAGAAGAGTTTAACTTCAAAAGCGCCTTTTCGTGCAGTTTGCGTCTAGCACTTCATAAAATGATATGTGCCATTTTTTTTACAAATTTGGTATCTCAAAGTGATTTTATAAGCAAGAGCAATCTGTTTTCCGTTCTTTGTGATAAGTTCTCCGCTCTCGCCTTATATGCCTTGAGAGAACGCGAGCGTGAAAGTTAAGAATGCGGCCTTAGTTATATTTAATGGCTGTACCTGGAGCACCAACGCAGCAATGTAAGTTAGAAATCCAGTCGATAGTGACGACGTGTCAGCTACGAAACTTCAGTTTCCTCGAGGTTTAAATTTTTCATTTTTCTTAGTGTCGTCTTTCCATCATTTTAGTTAAGCTATTCTTTTTACCATGCATATTTATGCTTGATAGTTCGAAGTGTTTGCTGAAATTTATCAGCAAAGTTTATTCTCTGATCTTGACCTCGAAACCACGGATATCTCACGGATCAATGACCAAAAAGATGCTCCAGACGTGATTCTTTGCGTTATGTTAGCACTTTAACTAAGAGTTTGTGTCACGGATTAACCCTACAGTGTTCGCGTGGATTACATACCGGTATGTCGTCCACGACAGTCGACCGTTACGAAACCGAACGAAAAGGTGACCAATTTGGTCAATTTTTACATGCGATCCTAGCAGGGTTATAACCAGAAATATACCCTTGATATGATCCATTATGCACATGCTTATATGTGGAACATACAATATTCCATATATTATAACAGAGTAATCATGTTGTCACAGAGGAGCTTGGCGAGAAGCTGGAGCTGTACATCAAGTACCGCCTGCCACCGGACCTATAGGCTGTGGTGATACAGTTTCGAATGGTAAAGAGAATGATTAGAGCTAATGGGCTGTGGTCTTTGCGGGCTCTCACGGGTCCGTTCAGACGCGCATATTATAACAGAGTAATCATGTTGTCACAGAGGAGCTTGGCGAGAAGCTGGAGCTGTACATCAAGTACCGCCTGCCACCGGACCTGGTGCGCGTAGTGCGTCTGCCGCACCGCCACGGCCTCATACGCGCGCGTCTCGCGGGGGCCAAAGCTGCTACTGGAGACGTGCTCATCTTCCTTGACTCGCATTGTGAGGCTAATGAGAAATGGTGAGTCGGGCACGAGTACTATTATTGTGTCTCATTGTGAGGCCAACGAGAAATGGTGAGTCGGGCACGAGTACTATTATTGTGTCTCATTGTGAGACCAACGAGAAATGGTGAGTCGGGCACGAGTACTATTATTGTGTCGCATTGTGAAGGTATAGTGAAATGTTGAGTCAAGCTGTGAGAATCATTATTGAGTCTCATTGTGAAGCTATGGTGAAAAGGTGAGTCAAGCATCGTGAGAATCATAATTGAGTTTCATTGTCAGGCCAACGTGAACTGGTGAGCCTGGGACTGCGAATTTCATTGTACGATTGATTTGCTGCGAATTCATAGCCTTAGATCTGGTTCGAAAACTTGTTCCAGCACTTATAACAATTAAAAATTCGTAACAAGTTGCACTGAAAGTCTATTAATTTCCTTTCTTTCACCTAATTTTATTCTTGTATATTTTTATAATATTCGTGAATTCTCTGTTACTTTACGTCACTGATTATGTGACCGACTTAATTTCTGAACATCACTTCTCCGAAGTCCTAATATCATCAGTTTGTATAAATCTCAAGTTCACAAGGAATTGAAATGCAGAAAAAACGCCAAGCAAATTCACCATATCGATATTGAATATTGAAAGTAAAATCAAACGATCAATTTCCTCGAATGGAGTTCACTTTGACTGTTTGTTGTACATGACATCGGCGCTGAGCTGTGTGTGTGTGTGCAGGATGGAGCCCATGCTGCAGCGCATCAAGGAGAGCCGCACGGCCGTCCTCGTGCCCATCATTGATGTCATCGACGACAAGACGCTCGAGTACTACGCTGGCAACGGCCGCTACTTCCAGGTGCCTGGTATATCAGGCTTAATTGTTGTGCTCAGGACAACCTTACGCAGGATAGTTGTTGGGAATACAGCAAGTCTGTGGCAACGGCCGCTACTTCCAGGTGCCTGATCTTGGTCTGTCTTCCAAACTTCATTGCAATTTTCAACGCCAATTTCCAATTATTACACATTCTGCTTATAAATTTTTGAGTTTGATTTTGCATCTTGAAGAATCAACTCCTTAACATCTTGAAATAGTGATGTTTCGCGACCAATGCTGGTTGTCACCATTAGCATTCCAATTCTCATAGAGGTCCATCTGACACTCATGCTTTTTGACGATTTTTCAAATTGCTGCCGCAGGTTGATACCCTAAACAATTGTTTTTTTCCTATTGTCGTTTCTGTGTTAAGATTTCAATTTATTTTTACGTTTTTGTTTATCCAGTTCTCAAACTTCTGTATTATAAATTTTCAAGTTTTATTTAAAAAATTGATGGTTATAAGGCAAGAATCCAGGCAAAAGTTCCCTGAATGTAACCCTGAGTTGTCTTGCAGGTTGGGGGCTTCACGTGGTCAGGCCACTTCACTTGGATCGAAGTCACTCCTGAGGAGGAGAGACGCAGGGGCAACCCCGTGGGCCCCACCCGGTGAGTTGGGTGCTTAGGTTCAATAGCCAATCGATAGTAGTAATTGTTAGGATTTATTATTTTGCTTCTATTTACCTATGTATACACAGAGAGGCGAATTTCCTGACTCAGCAACACACTAACACCTTCGGCATTTCCCTCGCTTACTTTCCACCCTCTAAAACTTCCACTCGTTTTCAGCCTCATAAACCCATATCAAACTTCCACACCCTCACATACCTTCAGTTCACCTTCCCCTCTCACTCAATCTTTCTCCCTCAGCCAATGTTTCCCCTCACCTAGCCTTTCCACCTCTCACCTATCCTCTCCACCTCTCACCTAGCCTCTCCGCCTCTCACCTATCCTCTCCACCTCTCACCTAGCCTCTCCACCTCTCACCTAGCCTCCCTACCTCTCACCTTACTCTCCTCACATTTCTTCTTACACTGGCCGCCCCTCCAAACCTCCCTCTCCCCCTCTAAGTCCCCCTCTTCCCGTCACTTATTTACTCCTCCCTCCTGCTGCAGGTCCCCGACGATGGCTGGGGGGCTGTTCGCGATGGACCGGCAGTTCTTCTGGGACGTGGGTGGCTACGACGAGGGCATGGACGTGTGGGGCGGCGAGAACCTCGAGATGAGCTTCAGGGTGCGTCGCTCTTCTCTATTATCATCATTATTATCATTTTCATTGCTATTATTTTCCTTATCACGAATTATTTTCTTGCTTTAAACTCTAAACTGCTCGTCTTGGCGCCTCGTATTTGAAGGTTGCCCCTTGATCGCCGGAAGCTTGATTTAATAATTTATTCATTACTTTTTTTATGTATTTATCTTATCTTTACTTCTTCAACATATGTTGAGGAAGAGAGTAGTTGTTTTCCAATAACTGTTCTTTACGTATTTCAGTTCGGTTATGAGTTCAGTAACGCTCATAACATGAAATAATGTAGGTATATTTTACTACTAACGTCTAACTGTATATATTATTTATTATTTGCTTCTTAATATCGTTGTTGTACGAATACTAGTTCTTTGATGCGTGAATAACAAATGTGTGCTAATGCATCATATTTCCAAAGTACATTTAAATAAAGATTTGTTTGTTTCCAGGTTTGGATGTGCGGCGGAACTCTGGAAACAATGCCATGTTCGCGCGTGGGCCACATCTTCAGGTCCTTCCATCCTTACACCTTCCCTGGGAATAAAGATACGCACGGCCTCAACACCGCCAGGCTCGCCGAGGTCTGGATGGACGACTACAAGAGGCTCTTCTACATGAACAGACCAGAGCTGCAGGTCTGTAGTCTTCTACATCAACAGACCAGAGCTGCAGGTCTGTAGACTTCTACATGAGCAGACCAGAGCTGCAGGTCTGTAGTCTTCTACATTGTAGACTCTTCTACATCAACAGACCAGAGCTGCAGGTCTGTAGACTCTTCTAAATCAACAGACCAGAGCTGCAGGTCTGTAGACTCTTCTACATCTACAGACCAGAGCTGCATACCTCACTCCCATGTTAACTTGGAGTTGTTATGCAGGATCTACTCGATTTCAGTTCGCAATTCCGGTGTTCGCACCGAGTTCAATTTTTCGCTTGATCTGATTCCATAAGATCTCAATATAATAATTAGTCAGTCTAAAAAGAATATCTAAGAATACTAAACAAATTTACACTGATGATTTCTTTTATTTCACTCAAAGATTCAACCACCACAAAAGTAGACCATCGAATTTATTATCGTCATCAGATTTACAAAATTTGCCACTGTCTTTTCCATCTTCTGCCATCGTGAAGTTCTATTTTGGATTGCAAGAAGAGCTACTGGCGGTATACTAGCTAAGAAAACGCATTGTACACGAAAATCTATAGTTCACTAAGACATTTCGAGAGACTAAAATATCTAACATAAAATAGATCTTAAAAACTCTAAAATGCAAACAAATGAAATCTCACAACCTGGATACCGGTATTCGGTATCCATAAGGACAATATAGGTTCCTGTAACAGTGTTTTTTTTATTGAAATTTGTATGTCAATTGGGGATGAGTTGTTGAATTTAAGGCGATGTCAACATCTCGAGCATAGTTCGTAAATGATCGTGGCTTGTTATGCCGTCATAAAATGTGTTTTCCTAAATTAAAATCAGTAATACCTACAATTTCATCAAGTGAATAGCTTCAATGACGGAATAAATTTTTTATTTAAATTCACTACTCAAATCTTAAAGTGGTCTTAGTGAAATAATCCATCTTCAAATCCTATTTTATCTTATAGTGGCTTTAGTTAAATTGTAATCACTTATGTTCAAATCCTATTTTATCCTATAGTGGCCTTAGTCAAATTGTAATCATTTATGTTCAAATCCAATTAGAAGATAATTATTTTATTTACAGACGGCAGATTATGGCGACGTCTCTCCCCGACGCGCGCTGCGTGAACGTCTGCAGTGTCGCTCGTTCCGCTGGTATCTCGAGAACGTTTACCCTGAGAAGTTCGTGCTGGACGAACAGAGCTTCGCTTACGGCAGGGTGAGAATTCCAGCCTTATATTTTTTAGAAGGCTGTACATGAACAGACAGTGTACATGATCATAGCTTTTTAGAGAGTACACAGTACATAATTTGTTTTTTGTTCTGAACAACTTTGGAAAATTATCATGCTAAGTCTTGCCGCCCTGTTTCTTTTTATTTTTTTTTCTTGAAACCTTGTCGAATTGTCACGCAAATTGTTGCCCCCACCCCCCATTTGTTTTTTGTAACCGTAGCAAAGTTTTATGTCAAGTATTGATACCTTGAGTTCTGGTCACCTATGCAAATTGTGACGTCATGTGTTGGGTTCGTCATTTTTCTTGCTAATCTGCGCAGATTTTGTCATATTTAATATAATACAGCATATACTGCTTGATGTTGACCGGTGCAGTTGTACAATTGAGCTGCAAGCGTCTCAGATCGAGATGATGCTATTGCTAGTTTCTATTTTTTTTATCACGGTGCATGTTCGTCACCAACTTTTTTTGGCTACAATTTGAAAAAGTACATAATTTTAAGTATATATAATATTTTGTTTGCTTTTTCGTGGAATTATATATCTAATTTTGTCGCATATTTGTTTGATTTTTAAATATCTCCTTGAATATTCGGAGGTATAACCTACAAACTAATTCATGTACATTGTTGTTGACGTGATGTGCTGCTTTGGTTTGACTTGCTTTTTCTGTGCGACGTTGAAGCTTGATTTGTTATATCTTCTGCGACAAAACTTTTAACCCGTACCGTTTTTTTGTGTGTACATAATGCTGACCTTATCGCTTGCTTGCATGCCAATTAATCTACCATCATTCTGAACGATGAACTAAATCGGTTTTACTAAACTAAATCAGATTTAGTTTAGTTTAACCCATCTAAATCTTACGAACAATGTGAAGGTCGCCAAAAACTGACTGTAGTTAGCCTCTACGCATACAACTTTTTAATGAGGCGTATCTGCCCTTCTATTATTGACATGAACTGAGCGGACTTAGAATAACGATATATTGACTTGAGACTAACCTAGAACTTGTGTAGGTTCACAACCTGTTGTCTTCGACGTGTTTGGACACCTTGGAGCAAGAAAACCTCGACGGCGACCCCTATTATTTAGGACTGTTTGACTGCCTCACGTCGCCCCTCAGGGCTCAGGTAGCTACTGACGACCACGCCTGCAATACTAACTCGACCAATCGCCGACTTGAGTTTTGCTTATACACGGGGACAGTAGTGGCGGCCAGTACTATATTCAAATGCTCTCACTAACTATCATGCTACTGGCCTGCTGTAAATGGTTAGTGTGTACTTCTTTGGCCACTGGCGATATATGTACACGAGGCCAAAAGCGCGGTAAAAAGTGTCGGTTTGCATTTGTGAGTTGCACTGGCCGCTTCTAGTGGCCTCGTTTAGAAGCCCCTTCAATGAAAAACTGCGCCTGGCTTCTTCCATCAGTGACGGGAGTGTAATAACTGATCGTACCAACACTGACCACAGCGCAACAATGACAGAGGTAGTATTCCTAAATCTCTTTCCTACGAGATATTGAACTATCCGACGATGATTCAGACTGACAAGCATCTCTGGACAGGTATAAATAAGACAAGCATCTCTGTACAGGTAAATATAAGCATGTATGACACATGAACTGACCTCTCTGTATAGGCATAAGCATGCCTGACTCGTAATTTCTCCTCGACGGAGTTCCTGGCTACGTCTTCCTTCTGACTGCTCATCCCGATGCTTGTATTGTTTTGACTGACGCTTATGGACTCTCATTATTCTACTAACAAAAAATACGGAATGTTCTTTGTTACGAAATTTCCGATAAAATGAGATCCGGAATATACGGAAAACGGAACCAACAATGTACCGTTCAGAAAACTGATTAATACTCGCCTTCTCGACTGCTCACTCAAGGCTTTGCTCACGCTAAAGAGGGATCTTCGTTGTTCAAAATGCATGTTCTCGCCTCACGCTAAACTCTGATCTGCTTTCGGATTTTTTTATGGAATTTTAGGAATATAAATGGACCGGAAATTTTGGTATGAATTTTTTAGCGAATGCTACAAATAACAATCACTGTGAGTACAAGGGTTCTCCTGTTTTTCTCCAAATTGTTTTCAGTCGGCTTCTTGTTATTTATGCCCTAAAGCTTTCCCACTAAAGTTCTCTTGAATATCTTGGAAGGGAAAATTAAAATTTGGTTTCATGAAAAATTCACGCCTATTACAAAGAATTGATCATTCTTGGGTCTTTCTCACTTAGTAATGAGACTCGTTTCTCTCTTTATACTCTGATGCTCTTATATGCATGCCGTAGTAGTATTCCTCTGCATTTAGTCTCACAATGACTTGTGCTGCAGCTGCGCAACAACGGCACTCGTCCCCACCTCTGCCTCGACACTCTGCAGGCCGACGAGAAAAGACCCTACGACATAGGCTTGTACAATTGCCACGACTTCGAGGCCTCTTCGCAAGTAAGTCTCGGGGCCTGAGAAACCATACGACATAGGCTTGTACAATTGCCACGACTTCGAGGCCTCTTCTCTATCGCATCTTTGACCTTACTATCGCATCTTTGACATTACTATCGCATCTTTGACCTTACTATCGCATCTTTGACCTTACTATCGCATCTTTGATCTTACTATCGCATCTTCTATCTTACTATTGCATCTTCTATCGTACTATCGCATCTTCTACCTCACTATCGCTACTTCGACCTAGATTACTTCGTTGGCTCTTTTTTCACACAAACCGCCCTAATTTCCTTAAACGGAATCACACTTCTTGATTTTCGTGAAACAAATTGATGAACTTGTCTCTCATTCCAATGGCAGCGAAAAAAAAGTATGAACGCGACCGAAATGGTTTTATGAATGTGACAAAAAATGGCCGCATTGGAGCTACACGAACGCATCTAACGATCGTTCCAGGAGATCACTAATTATTGTGTCTCTTTGTTGTCACTGGTTTGTTCTTCGCTGCCCTAGGCTCCTCAAGAGTCTGCATTCATACAATTCTTAAATTTTGCTAATCTTTGGCAAGCAAAATGTTGGAACTGCCATTCTTGCTATCAGCATCTAAAATAAAAAGTTTTATCCAATTTCTATGCAATTTGGATTCCAATTTACCATCTGCATTTATTGCGGAAACCCAATAGCTATGATGAATGTAATGTTTACCCTCCCTTTTTTGTACTTTATCTGTCAGTGGAGCATGTACCCCAAAGACACTCGAGCTGCGAATTGAACTTACCCATTACTTATTATACTTATACTGAGTACTTGAACTGAGTACTCATATAAGTACTGAGTTCTCATAGAAATATTGAGTACTCAGTACTTATAATGAGTACTCAGTACCTTACTGAGTACTTATTAAACGTGAGCACAAAATATGCATGTTTAGCAGGCACTAACAGCGTTGACGCTCCCACAGAGCGGCCACCTCATGCACAAAGCCACGAACCTCTGCCTGGACACGGCGGGCGGCTCTGCCATGGCGCTGGCGCAGGCGCAGGAGTGCCGCGCCGTGGCGTCCCAGCAGTGGTGGTTTGAACACTACAACGCGGCGCGGTGATGACGTGTCTCTGCCAGCAGTGGTGGTTTGAACACTACAACGCTGCGCAGTGATGACGTGTCTCTGCCAGCAGTGGTGGTTTGAACACTACAACGCTGCGCAGTGATGACGTGTCTCTGCCAGCAGTGGTGGTTTGAACACTACAACGCGTTTCACGCACATCTTCTGAGTTCATTGTCGTAGTAGACTCATGATGAATTGATGATGTAATATATATTATTTAATTTATTCAGGTGGAAGTATCTGCCCGGTCCGCATTTAATTTTGGGTTGCCACAATATGAGACTGATTTCCAGCTCTGACGTTGCACTGACGTATTGGGCAGCTCTTCTGTTGGGATGTGATGATCGAGAAATCGGAGTTATTCAAATACTTAATTAGTGCTGCAATTTGACGTTAATGTTTTCTTAGTTCTTTTTGTTGAAGCCATTGCCAAAACATGGCTCATGCCTCACAGTTACAGGGCATGTGGCTGTACATTTCAGTCATCTCTAGAAAATATCACCGGTATCTCCAGCCTAATTATTTAATTTTGTGATGAAAAATAGTTGCGTTCTTCCTGTGATTGAACTCAATATTAAGTTAAGAACTTACTAATGCAAAGTAGATGGACAAAATTCTACGATATGTTCCGTTAAGAAGGCTACTCCTTTGACTCGCTTTCCGTTTGAACTTAAATATTACTGGTCAAGTTTAGTTTTCATTAAAAGATTGATTAGATTCTTCATGGCTGACTCTAAATACTTAGAATCTTAGACACGTAATGGGTTTGATAAACTATACTCGAGATGATTTGAATGTGAGAAACGAAAGTGTTTGGTTTTATGGTTATTTCTAAATGCCGGGTGGGGTGATGACGAAGGATAGTTGCACCTTATTCTAGGCTTTTATTATATTATCATGACGAGAAGTAGTCCTTTAAAAATAAGTATTTATTTTAACTAAGTTTTCGTAAATGTTCTCGAGTTGCTTGTCAACTTGACAGGTTGACTTCTCGGGATGACTTGTGATTTTCGTGTTACTTGTATTCCGTGATTAATTCAAATTTTTTTGTTGATTAATTGTCTATCTAAGAATCATTTTTGTAATTACTAGATGTTAGTATCAGACTAATGTCTTGAATGATTAACAACCACATATTTGTGATTAAGTTGCAACTGTTGTTTTAGTTCGGAGAAAACACAGTTCAACTACTACTGACTGCTCAGCTGCTAACCTTAATCATCATTGTTGATCAGAGATTTCTACAATGATTGTAATTTAACTTAGGTTTATACTGGCATTTGTTTGACTTAAAAATATATGGTGCATGGCTGTTGGTGCATCTTCAATAGCAAATAATTTCTGACTGCTGTAGCATTGATTGCGTGGCAGCTGAAAATCAGGATTAATATCCTGTTTTAATTTCTTAGATTAGCGGGAATTATTGATGTACGGCTATTCCTATCCTTAAATTTGATTTTTTGTGTAAAAAAATTAATCGTTAAATTTCCTAATTAGCTGCTTCAGGCAAGAATAATTCCTGGTCACATTTTTCGAACAAGTTAATTTTTTGTGGCTTGTTTCTACCCTCGTGTTCATAGATGCTGTTTAGGCCAACGTTCCTGCGTATTTCAATGCTAGTCCATTACCTATTAATACTTCGCTTTCAGGTGATGAATATTTATTTAACCTCTACCGCCGTATGTCACTCTCCATCAACATAACTTTCAACTTAAATTATACATAAACTTTTAAGTGTAGCAACCCGAGGACGTTTGTACGCAACAGAGAACACTTTAAAGTTGTACGTGGCGGCAACCATCAGTACAAGTCATTTTGCGCTCACTAGAAAGTATCCTTTTAGGGTAGGCTTTTGTGATAATATTGCTTCTGTTACTCAGGTCAGGCGGTAAAGGGTTGATTATCCTCGAGAGCTGACTCTTGCAACGAGAACCTTGTGGTCCAGCCCTCTTTCTATGTCTAGCATCACTTCGTGTCGAGGTTTTACCGATATTTTTCAAACTTGCCGTCTAATTTTTATCAATTTCTATTGACGTTGGTCTGTTGCAGGCAATTGTTGTGAGGCTAAGCTGTACTTTGCGAAAGAAACTTGGGCGGTGTTAATGATTGGCGTTTGCCTGCACTTGTAAAGCGTGTTTACTTTTTAAATGCAAGTAAATTCGCGTGAACCTTCGAGTACTGAAATTCCCTGGGTATTAATTCTTCTTCTCAGTTACAATAAAATATATTAAGGAAATTTAGTGGGTCGTACTAGCCGTAATGTAAAAGTTTGATTTTTAGCGCATTTTCTCATTTATATAAAAAAGGCGCTATTGTGCTCGTCATGTCCATCCGTCCGTGACGGACGGACGGACGTGAGAAAATGCGCTCTCGGTCACTCACTACAGTGAGTACTGGTCTAATTTTTTTTTAAGTTTCTAATTTTGCGCACTTGTCGTTTTACGTGAGGTTTTCTAAAGACTTTTTTCGTGAGGTTTTCGTGTTTTTATGATGGATTTATGTATACATGTATGATAATGTATCCATAGAGCTGCCACACGCTTAGCGTTCGTCGCTGTGAAGGTCTTTGACGCATTTCGTATATTAAATATTGAGAAATATTTTGTGTAGCCACAACTTTAGCATTCCATGATCGAGATAGTAATAAGTACTGGATATTTTTTCACCCTAGAATTAAAACCTAGTCCATAGTAGAGTATAGGCTAAGACTTTCGTCATGTGAGGTTTTCTAAGAGTACATTTTTTGACCAGGAAAAGTTGCTAGAAAATTTACAGCAAGCTACATTTTTTTGGCGCGATGCTGAAAAGAATGCATGAGTTGGAATGCGTATAATTATGCAATAGATCATCGTTCAAGAATAATTAAGTGCAGTGATAAAGTTTTGTTTTATAAACTGAATTACTACAACGCTGCAACTTATCCAAATGCAATGTAAATGTTAATCCAAATGTAATGCAAAAGTAACCGAGAAGTATATTTGTGACGTTCATAACCTGCATGCTTTATCAGAATGAATTTATTTGAGCATTTCATGCCCATTTCGCGCCCATTTCGCTTCGTAATTTCTTCTGCCCTAGTAATATCACGCATGATTATTTTATAAGCAATACTTGTCTCGTTGCTGGTGGCTCGCTTCATCCGCCTTCTGAACGAGGCGTGTGAACCCAGGCTCAGCCTGCCATCATTAAAGTTAAATCTGAGAAAATTCTATTCCAAATTTATCTCATTTGAAATTTCAGTCTTTCAGCTGTACATTTTCGTCCTTTAAGTTCATCTGCTGAATATCGTTAAAATCGAATAATTAAATTTGGTCCGTTAAATTTCGCTGTCTGGGTGAAAGTGTGTTTACACGAATTTCAATGCACAGAAATACCAAGTAAATTCGATGAATTTTCATTGAAAACTTTTCGAGAGCAGCTCCATTATCAGTTCAAAAAATCGAAGTGAAAATCGGTCATCGGAAAAAAGTCGAATTTACACCAAAGAGTTTAAAACCTAAATGACTATAAAACGAAAGCGAAAAATAAAAATCTAGTGATTTAAATTTTCAAGAATATAAGAACTTGAGGAATTTAAATCGATAAATTTTTATGTTCAACAGTGATCATCTTTTTTTTTATTTAATCTCGTTCATGTACATATGTATTTTCACTGCTGATGGTATATATGCTGAAAAAAATTTTTTAACTGATGATGGAGCTCGTCTCCGAAATGATTTCCTAATTCACTTGACGCTTTCATCACTTTTAAATTCCTGGTGAAATTGCAATTTAAGCAGAACAGCGATATAAGAACTTTAAATTTCTTAGACTTTTGATGTTATACAAAGATTACGATGAATGATTTTTTTATTATATAAATTACTGATGTAGATATTGTCCCGCAGGATCACTGATCATAAATGATATGGTGACTGGCATAATGATACGACGTTGTTTTTTAATTTTCTACTTAGCTTTCTACGTTTATTGTGTTTTGTAAAATTTCTACTCATGTATCGCGGATATTAAATTGGGTTTTTTGCGGTGCACGCATAACCGTGTGACCGACGTGTGAAGCTTTCTCGTGTATAGTATGTATTTCAGGCCAGTCTTGTTTTACTTATAATTCTATGATTATTTTACTGTAAGATTAAACCACGTGCTGGGCGTTTGTTATGCTGCGAGTGGAGTTACCGACTGTGCTTTTCTCTTTACCATTTGCTTACTTATTGCTTTGTGTTGATCATTTAAATTCATATGTTCGGTAATAACAGAAATTATTGTCTTAACAGAACTATAAACGTATAAAGACTACGATGCATTATTGTTACGTTTAATATTGTATCATTTCTCTCGACTTGAACCTAGACTTTTGTTTTGCTGTAGATGTTTTCTTTTGTTTTATCTATTGTCCTAATGGAAAGCTAGAGCTTTACCTCGTCAACATTCTAAGCAGGTGAAGTTTATTTTTAAAATCTAAATAGTACAAAGACTTTAGACTTGACCATGTACTTTGTATTACTCTCTATAGGCTTTTTATGACTTCGCATTGCATTAAACTTGAGGGTTTTAGTTACAAGATAGTGAAGTCACAGTCACTCACTAACGCTGATATGGCCATTTGTTTTCATATGCTGCATGTTGGTATTTAAGTAATCGTCTTGAGCGTTCTTATGTGTGTCTTGGAGAATTGATCCCATTTGGTTACCCTTGTGATAACACATCCAAATCCACCATAAAATTCGCCGTTTTTACTTAAAGTTATTGTTTATTATTTTATACTTTTTTTGTGATAAATAAAATTGAAAAAGCAATTAATCCCATATTGCGGATGTGGGTTCATCACTCGAATGTAGCAGAATTTTGTTCACGATATACTAAACTAATGCAGGTATGTGCCTTTCCTCTGTTCTGCTCAATCATGCATTTCGTGCCTTGAATAATAATAAAATATAAGTAATTCTTTCAATAGGTATTTCATCCTGAAATCCATTCTAAAGTTCTTGCCAGTTGTG